TGCGTTTCGCTGTTGATGTTGATGTAGATGTAGATGCAGGTGTAGATGTAAATGTAGCTGTCGGTGTAGATGTAGATGTTGCTTTCCTAAATGCTCCAACTCCTAGGTAGGGTCGCTCTGGGATAATTGTTTAGTGGTATTCACAGATCAACCGAGAACTTACGCATTCAACGCAACTAAAAACTTGCTGGCACAATGAGCCCTCGCGGCCGCGGCTATCCAAGTTCAACTCAACCCCAAGGCCGATATGGCCAATGATATGAAACCCACGCAAAAAGAAAATGGGAGACAGGAGGGGGTGAGAGTGAGTACACATATATATATATATATTGACCGACGGCAGCATGACCGAGAGAGATAGAGGAATACGAGGAATAAAGAGAGAGAGAGAGAGAGAGAAACAAAAAAGAGAGAGAGAGAGAGACAAAGACACAGGAAAACGAGAGAGAGAGAGAGAAAGGAACAAAAAAAAACAAAGGAACGGAAGATGAACGCTTTTCTTGGAGTCAGCTCCTGCTGCCACCAGCCGCAGCGAGTGCACGGGCGCGGCCAAACTGTAAAAAGGCCCGTCTGCTGTAAATGACGGCCCGCCGAGCCTGCCTCACCTCCGACAGCGTCGGCACACGCGCACGCCGCTGCCGGCGAGGGCGCGCAGCACCCCTCCTGCAGATCTGCCCTGCGACAAACCAACAACAAAAACATCGAAGGCCGCGCTGTACAGTGTGCAGCTTCTGTGCACAGATCCCCGGCCCCCTGCGTCGCGCGCCGCGCTCTCGAGGTCAGGCCTGCTGCTCCCCCTTGGCGGCCTCGAGGGCGCCCTCCGCGCGGCCCGCCGCGGAGCAGGCGCAGAAGTAGGGCTCCGGCCGCACGTGCGCCAGCTTCGCCCCTCCGGCGGCCCGCGCCCAGAGGCCCGCGCAGATGGCGAGGGCGCTGAGCGCGCCCCAGGCGGAGATGTACACGCCCGGCCCCAGCCTCGAGTACTCCAGGGACCCCTGGGCCGTGAGCCCCGCGGCGCCGCCCACGAGGCTCATGGCCAGGTTGTGGGTGAGCCCCACCCCGAGGCTCCGGCCCTGCGTCGGGAAGAGCTCCGCGCAGAAGAGGCCGCTGGCCGCCGCGCACACCGCGATGGGCACCCCGTAGCCGACGCCCAGGCACAGGAAGGCCACCGTCCAGTTCGCGGGCGCGGACTCCAGGACGGCGAAGACGGGGACCCCGACCAGCGCGGTGAGGACGGCGCCCGCCAGCATCATGGTGGCCACCCCGACCCGGTCGCCGAGCCACCCGAAGCAGGGCACGAGCACCACCAGCAGCGCCTGCTGCAGCGTGGCGAGGAGGCTGCTGTACTGGAGGCCCCGGGCCCGGAGGAAAGCGATGGTCCAGGAGGTGGCCGTGTAGATGAGGGCGGAGAAGCCCGCCGCGGCCGCGCAGCCGAGCAGCACGTGGCCGATGTAACGCCGCACCGCCGAGAGCTTGGCCAGGAAGCGGCCCCTCCCCCCTGCCTCCCAGGCGCCCTGCTCAGACGCCCTGTCCTGGAGGAACTGCCGAAAGTCCTCCGTCTCCTCTATGCGACTGCGCCCCGCGAGCGCCACGAGGCCGAGCGGCAGCACCAGGAGGAAGGGGACCCGCCAGCCCCAGGACTGCATCTCCGCGGGGGCCAGCGAGGACTCCAGCGCGAAGACGACGCCGGCCGTGATCGTGAACGCGAGGTGGGCCACGGTCAGGTAGAGGGAGGTGACGAGGTTCTTGTGCCGGTCGGGGGCCTCCTCGGCGAGCATCGCCATCATCGTGCCCTCCTCCCCGCCGACGAAGAAGCCCTGAGCGAGCCGGAGGGCAACGAGGGCGTGCATGCTCCACCCAGCGCCGCCGCTGGCGGCGGGGAGGGCGCCCTGAAGCCCCGTCGCGAGCACCATGCCCAGCAGGGAGATCAGGGTGACGGGCCTGCGACCGCACCTGTCCGCGACGATGCCGAAGACGAGGCCGCCGAAGGGCCGCGTGACAAACGACGCCCCGTAGCCGAGCCATACGCCGACGTCCGAGCCGCCGAAGAAATCGTGCACCAAGTAGGGCGCCAGATAGCCGTACACCGCGAACTCGTACCACTCGAGCGTGTTGCCCAGGAAGAGGGGCCAAGTGCGCCGCAGCAGCGAGGCCAGTTCCGAGGTCGTGCGACTCTCTGAGCGGCTGGAGTCAGCAGAGGTGGCGTCACTGCCTGGGAACTCATTCGCCATGGGCCCGATCGAACCAGAGAAGCGACCCGCGACGTCCTGGAGCTGCGTATATGCAGCCCGCTCGGGCGAGGCGACTTGAGCTGTTCTTGAGCCAGTGCAGCAAAACACCTGTGAAAGTACTGAAACTGGGAATGTAAACTCTGGAACCATGACAACATAATGCAACTGACCCCATGCTGATCACCCACCGCATGAGGCGTCGATGTCGAAGTCCGCCACACAAGGAATCGATCAGCAATCTGCCAAACAGGAACCATTATGTGAATGTTCTTGGGAGCGAGGCTGTCTGCAAACAACGGAAGCGCATCCAGCGCGATACGTCCGATTCCTTTGTACCTAGCGTGCGCACTCGAAAAGTAACCCACTGTCGAGGACATCAACGATTCGCACGTCAACGACGGGGGGACCCAGCGACTAACTCCACATGATGGAAGCAGCCACCGAAATCAGCAGCATTCTGCTCCAAAGAGGTAGGAGGCCTCGCGCCGAAGGCGGCACGATGTACGAAATAACGCTTCTCCCCCCGAGCTCGTGCTCAAACGCCTTCGAACGCCCCGCTGCGGCCAGGCGCGCCACCTCGCAGGTACCGTCCCTAAGAAGGAACGAAACATAACAAACGAAACCCTTGGTTGACCAACAAAACACCTGGGTGCGTCGCTAGTGGAATGACCATGGAAGGACCTACAGCTCAAACCTGGCCGCAAGAACCCCTCGCGAGAAACCAAGCCCTGATAATCCGCGCGCGACGTGCACCTGGGGGGAAGCCCACAGCACCATGAACGCAGCTGTGGCTTCACGCCCGGTGGAAGTTGCCGCGCAGCGCGCTCCCCGCGAAGAGGCCCGAAGTACCCCGACGAAGAAGCATCGGGCTTCTTCATGTGCCCCGTCGCTGCAAGGAACGACGAACCCACTCCGAACTCGAGGTGCTCCTTTTTTTCCATCACCTTTGAATGGGGCCCTGGGACACACAAATAAATAAACACAAATACAAGGACGCAACATATTTTCCCATACTTTCTGGGTTCTCGTCTTCCCCCCCCCACTTCCTATACTTTCCCCTATCTTCTGGGGAATCGACGGTTCATTGTGTCTCCGTGTGTTTTTTCCCCCCCGAATCTTGCCTGCACAGCAGGGATGCGGGTGATGCGTTCCGCACTGGGCAAACTTTGCAGCATGGCAGGCGCCGCCGGGGCGCGCGGCCGAGCCCCCGCCGGCGTGCGGCACCCCGCGCCCGCCCCCTGGCCCAGGATCGGTGTCTACGCGCCCCCTGGCCATCGCTCGGACGTCCATTTCCTGTGTTTTTGTTCGGTTTCGTGCGTGTTTTTTTCGCGAAATGGTCCAGGATGCTCCTCGATGGTCCTCGCCGATTGAAAAATGCACACGTCCGAGCGATGCCGAGCCCCCGGCTTGGCCAGGGAGGCATACACACCGATCCTGTGCCCAGGATTTTGGACGCCCGAAATGGGTACGGAGAAAATAAGTGCAATGCCCGACAACAAATGCTGTCCCAAGCCAACAGCGGCCGCTGTTGGGCAGGCGGCCGTCTGTCTCGAATGGACACAGGCCGCGGCGGCGTGGACAGCGAATCCTGTTCACAGTGAACAGGAACTGCTGTTGGGCATTGTACCAATTCTTTCCGTACCCATTTCGGGCGTCCAGAAGGATTGCGAGGCGGGGATTTTTTTGTACTGCAAGGGATGTTAGTCTCAAGAGCGATGGGGAAGCTGTACAAAGACAGAAAGAATGACGGGCGTCGAGCTGTGGCGACGGCGCAGACCAGGTGTCAAGCAGCCCTGGTGGCTACAAGCAAAACGTGTGGTAGCGCGTGTGGCTACGGTCAGTCGAGGCGACCGATGGTACGTCCATCGGCCCTCCTCGCCGGCAGGTGGCGCAAGGCGTGGGTCCTTCCGGCGCGCTGTCCAGCGCGTCGGGCGGATCGGAACTCTTCGTCTACCCTCGCCTGCTGGTGAGCATTCAAGGGAGCAACATGTGCCTTCACCCAAGTCCAACAGCGCGGGCGGCGGGAGTCAGACCAGTGCGCCAGCAGACGGATCTTCTGCCTGAAATCCACCTTGCAGCATGGACAAACCGTGCCGTGGAGGTAACACTTAGCCTTCGTAGTCACCCTGTGCGCGATGCGCTCATGGCACGCGCGGGCGCGCGCGGAGGCGAAGCGAACACTACACATCCGGCACTTCACTGTGAGAGGCGTGGCCGAGGACGCGGTGCAGTCGCGGTCCAGGCAGGAATCGCAGACATGCGCGCTGCCCACGATGTCGGCCCATTTCTGGCGATCACCCACCAGTTCGGCCCATTGCAGCGGTGCGTCGAAGAAGCCAGGCGTGGCGGGAGGCACCAAGCCCTGACGACGCAGGAAATCGCAGTCCGCAGCTACGAGCTTCACCCAAGGCAGAGGTTGCCCCTTCGGGCGGAAGTGCAGCAGTGCCAGCAAGTCTGGAGGGCGCAGGAGCACCAGCCGCTGCAAGTAGCGCAGCCTCATGGTCATGGGCAGGCTGTCAATCGATGCCGCTTTCAATCGCTCGCGCACGGCGCGGTCAGACCACTGCACGTCAGGGCCGAACCGAGGATCACCTGCGATGCGGCGGAGCCCGCGCATGTACACCGCATTCAGACGGCGCAGGTGCGCCACTGGGAGGCACGCAATGTGGAGGCCGAAGAGCAAGCGAGACAGCACGAGGGACCTCAGGAAGCTGAGTTTGTGCCGCTCCGGGATCAACTCGCTGCCGAACACTTTGTACGCGATCGGCAAGTACGCGCTCATGGCCATCTGCGTGCGCCGGAGCGTGTTAGCATAGGCCTCGCCCGTCGCGCACAGCATGGTGCCAAGGTGGCAATAGGTAGCCACCACCTGGAGCCATTTTCGGACTCCCGGAACCCAGATGGCAAGCTCCCCACTGCCGCGGCGCCGAGCCTCACGAGCGCGCGTCGCGCCATTCCCGCGGTACTTCAAGAGGCATTCTGTCTTGCCCTTCGCCCAGTTGATGGTCAAATGGCACTGCCCGAATGCGGTGGTGAGGATGTGCAGGAGTTGCGCGATCGCGGCGTCCAGGTGGGCCGGCAGACGCGCGAGGAGGATGAGCCCGAGGTCGTCCACGAAGGTCGCGGCGATGACCGGCCGTCCATCTGCGCCCTCCCCGCACGGAGACTGCCAGAACGGGCCCTCAGGCTCCACGACGCCATGTCCGCCGCCTGGGAGCCGACGTCCTGGCGCCCCAGCGGGCGGCGGATATGGATCTACTTCGGCCCCCGGGGGCCCAAAGATGTCCACATCCCCCGCCTGCCGAGGCTCCGAGAACTGCCCCTCCAGGCGGTGGTCATAGATAAACCCCCGCCTCGGAAGGATCGGCAAACACGTTTCTCTCGTCGCATGATCCATGCAATCACATGTGCAGCCTGGCCACGGTCTGAGAGAGTGGCCCGTGGACTCCGCTCTGAACGCTGGCCTGAGCCTGGGCGGTGCTCAAGAGAGGGTTGTCCTAGTAGGCCCAGACCGTCCTCCTGGCAGGCTGCTGCGCGGACAAGGAGCCAGCCCTGTGGGTGCGCGCCCACGCGTGCACAGGACGTGAGAAACTGAGGCAGCTGCCTGCTGGCTGCTGGGGACGCGCTGGGCCAGCACGAAGGAGTGAGGTTTCGCAGCGGCCGGCGCAGCTGCCATTGTGAGCCTGCCCTCCCCGCGACCACTTCGCTGCCGCCGACGCCGCCGAAGCCGCCTGCGGCGCCTCCTCTGGCGGTGCGCCGCGCACGGCCACACGGCTCGCGCATCTGGCGTGCTGCGCCCGTGGGACTTCTCCGCGCGGCGCCGCAACAGCCGCTGCCCTTCCGGGCACTGCTGGGGGAGGTGGGGCCGCCAGCTCCGCGCAGGCCGCCCGCAGGGGCGGCGTCGCGGGACGCCGCCTGCGGCGTGGGCACTGGAACATCCCTTGCGGCGCCAGTGGAGCTCACGCCTGCACCCCCTGAGTCGGGCACCCGCTGGCCATGAGGCTACAGGGCAGTTTTTAATACATGAGATTTTTTAAATAAATGTATGCATGAACTCATCGTTGTTTTTCATACTAAATCCCTGCATGTTTAATCCATGATCCGCACGCGGAGCATGTATAAAAAACGGCACTGTACGCACGCCCTGGCTGCGGCTGCTGACCACCGCCGCCACCGCCGCGCGCTGCGGGGGCGCCGCCCGCCACGGCAGCCCATACCGCTCGTGGCGGCGGCGGCGCAGGCGGCCCCGAAACTCCAGCAGCAGGCGCGTTGGGGCTGCAGTATCGACTGGACGTGCGCCGCCCGGCTGTCAGGGACTGCCTCGGAGGACACGGACACGGCTCGCACCTGTGTGTACATGGGGTCCAGACCAGATGCACGCGCGCCCACAGCATGACCGCGAGGCCGCGGTAGTGCGTTACTAGCCGTACTGTCCAGGATCGCCACGCGAATTAGGCCCCGTGATGCCAAGCAGCAGGCGCCCCTATCATCCCTCCTGGGCCTGGCTGACTTCCTTGTCGAAGCCTGCGACGCGGACGCAGAGCTCGGGGGCGTACATGAGCCCGGCCGCGTGGAGGTCCAGGGCACCTGGCCTTGCGGGTCTAGCAACATGCCGCCGCCCTGCATCGCGCGCACGTGGCGGCGGCCCAGGTCCCGCGCCGCCGCGACACTCGCTCGGAGGTGTGCCTGCCCGGGCGGGCCCGAACCTCGCGCCGTGCCCGAGCATGGAGTACATAGAGATCCTGCGCCGCACGGCCTGGTATCTCTGAGGCCCTGCGCCGCCGCCGCCGTCTTGGTGGGCCCTAAGCGCAGGCCCGCGGCGCATCCGCGCGGCAACTCCGCCTGCCGCGACGGGTTGGCCACACTGGCCTCTGGAACGACGCTGGCGCCCAGACGTCGTCGACGAACGCCCAGAAGCACACGCGGATCGTCGCGGTGGCATCCCACAAGGCGAGCCGCACTACATCAAATGACGGCCCCCCATCACCTCGTCCCACCCTGCCCCTGCGTCGCAGACCACCAGCGGTGACTGGGACACATCATTCTCGTCAAGCTTCTCGACGTCCGTGTAGTCCCAGGCCCCGAGGAACGCCCAAAGAGCCCCTGGACATGGGTCGATGCCGAGGCCGACAGCAGGACTCGAGCCGGCCGGCTCCGGCTTGGCCGCGCTCCCGAGGCAGTACAGGGGCGGGCTGAGAATCCAGCCCACTTGCGGGCGGATCATGCGCAAGAGATGCCCGTGCGCAACCGCCACCACCACCACCACCACTGTTTCGAGCACACGCTGACATTGATTAAGGATTCGTGGACCTGGATTGGGCGCCAGATCCACGGATCGGGGAACGTAACCTTCGAAACATGGCGCCAGGGACGCCGGATTTCGCGACGGAGCGCGCCGATTCGGCACGGAAACGGGGCCCGTCGCTGATCCGCGCGCCTTCATCCATGTCTGCGTTTCATCGACTGCTGTGGGAAAAAAACACAATGGGAAAACACACAAAACACACACAGTGAGTGTGTGTGTGTGCGTGTGCGTGTGTGTGTGTGTGTGTGTGTGTGTGCGTGTGCGTGTGTGTGTGTTTTTCCCACTGTGTTTTTTTTTTCAACACACAAGACACACAAAACACACACAAAACACGCTGTGTTTTTTCCCCACTGTGCGTTTTTCCCACAGTGTGTGTTTTGTGTGTTTCTTCCACCATGGAGCCCAGGAAGAGCCGGGCCTTGCCACGCCCGCCCGCTCGCGCGTTGACCGCCACCAGGGCCGCCCTCAGGTCTTGCGGCTCCTGCTCCACCTCCTCTCTCAGAAGCCGAGCGAAGGCTGGCAAACCCGTGGCTGCTAAAACCGGAGCTCTGGGAAATTGCTTTCTTTCTTCCGGGAAGCAGCCTGTTTATTATCATAAGCGCTCTGAGCTCTCTTCCGGGCATGTGTTGTTTTTTCTTCCGGGGAGGACGTTTCAGCAGCCACGGATTTGCCAGCCCTCGCCCAGCTTCCGACTCTCCCTCTTCGTCGTCCTCCTTGCCACCTCCACACCATGCTTTCTACAATCCCACCAGCCCTCTGGGCGTCGGTGGTTTAGGGCGTTTCCTCTTCCACCCCTCCCTCTTCCCCTTCGGGGAGGGGTTTACCCCTCCCCCTACCCCCTCCCCACTGACCTGGACAGGAGGGGCGGGGAGCGGTCAGAGCGTCCATGATGGCCCAGGACGGCTCCAAGAGGGCCTCAGAGAGCCCAAGATCGCCTCCAAGATGGCTCAAGATAGCGCAAGATGCCTGAAGATGGTTCAGAAGACGCTCCAACACGTTCCAAGACCGCTCCAAGATGGTTCCAAGTGCCCACAAGAGCATCATTAGAGTGCCCTCAAAAGGCCGAAATGCTTCAAAACCCTAAGGAAAATCAATGTTTTTGGTGTTCTCACTTTTTCGCTTCCGAAGCCCATCCGAGGCCTCAAGATGGCGCCAAGATGTCCCAACTGGGCCCCAACAGGGGCCCAAGAGAGCCTCAATACTGCCTCAACAGCGTCCAAGAGCGCTCCAAGAGCGATCCAAGAGGGGTCCAGGAAGCGATTTTAGACAGTCTGGAGGGGCAACGCTAATTAAAGCTCTGCTCTTCTTTGATAGATTTGCTCCAAGATGCCCCCCCAGAGCGCCCCGATGGCGTCTAAAAGGACCCCAGACGCCCAAAAACTGCTTCAACATAAATTCAATCGAGCGCTCGCGCGGGACGCGAAGCCCAGAATACTGCGAAAACACATGTAAGAGCAACCGAAACGATCAAATGCTTCTCACAAAAATATGTTATTCTTCCTGCACATCCGTACTCGACGCCTCCATTGCTCTCATTGTTCCAGACGGAAGCTAAGAAAAGCGTCACGTCCGACTGCAGGGACCAGGGAGGAGGAAGAGGCGGAGGAAGAGGAGGAGGAGGAGGAGGAAGAAGAAGAAGGAGAGGGAGGAGGAGAGGAGGAGGAGGAAGAAGGCGGAGGAGAAGGAGGAAGAGGGGGAGAAGAACAGCTGCCGATCATCGGCGCTCTTCGTTCGAGTGCCTGGTGTAGGATGGGCTGGTGGGGATACGCGAAGCGTCAAGAATTCCTCCTCCTTTGCCTTCCTTCGCGCAGGGCCAGGCGCTGCCACAGAGTGGGCGTCCGCCTGTGCGTCATCGGGAAAAAAAAGATCGAGTGGCCGAGGAGGCCTTCGGATTCGAGGGTGATCTCGCAGAGGGTCGAGGATCCGAGGACGATCGATGATCTGAGTAAGCTCGGGGGCTCGAGGAGGATCGAGGACTCGAGGGGGATTTCCACCCCCTCCACCTCCTTCCTCTTCCTTTTGCCACCAGCTCCCCTAATCCTAGAGGACTGTGGGGCCCTTCTGCAACCCTGGGCGTCCCCTGGATCTCCTGGGTTGCCGTTGCTGCAGCCCTGGGTGTTCCACTGGGTCCTGGGTTGCCACTTGGCTTTGGATTTCCAGCCAGGATGACCGTCGTTCCTCTCCTGTCTTCTCCTCCTCCTCCCCCTCCTCCTCATCCTCCATTCCTTTGCCTTGCGAGGCCTGTCGGAATGGCGGGCCGGGCGCTTCGCCTGAGAATTGCAAGGAGCTTGACGGATTGAGGGCGGGCGGTTTCCAAAACATGGCTCTCGCCTTCGCGCCGTGCGCATTCGTCTCAAACATGCACGGAGCTTCACATGAGGAGGGCGAGGAGCTTTCATCATGTGTCTCTCGTGTTAACCCCGCCCACGCTGATGTTAAAAATGCACAAGCTTGACGGATTGAGGGCGACTCATGTTCATACTGTGGTTCTCGCCTTGGGGCTGCGTGAATCCGTCTTAAACATTTGCAAATGGTATACGGGTTCCCATGGGTAACGTACCAGAAATGTTGTCAGGATTGTCAGGGCGCAAAAGTCTCGTCGATTCGCGGTGTTGGAGTCCCAGGAATGGTGTTCGGGCGCGATTCAGGATCGTCAAGACGCAACAGAAGTGTGTTTTGGCACGCTTCAGGTTGTCTCCCAACAGGGCACTTCCCACAGTGGAGACGAATCCTTGTAGGGGCCTGTGAAGAGGGAGCTTGGAGGGAGGGCTGATTCCAGCATCATTGATGAGTCTTGGTTTGTACTGGTCCTTCCCTCCTCCTCATCCATATCCTCCTCCTCCTCCTCCTCCTCCTCCTCCTCTCCCATTCTCCCCCTCTCCCATTTCCTGGGACCATTTGGACCTCTGCTGGGTTGCCTCTCCCCTCCCCCTAAAAGTGGCGCAACACATAACAAATCGCGTCCTTGCTTGCTCTGAACTGAAACGGACTGCTGCCCGCTCCTGCTCCTCCTGCTACTCCTCCTCCTCCTCCTCCTCCTCCGCCTCCTCCTCCTCCTGCTCCTTTCTGCTCCTGTTCCTGGTGCTGCTCCTGCTCCTCCTCCCCCTCCTCCTGCCCCTCCTCCCCAGCCTCATCCCCGTGGGTAATTTCTCCCTGCGTCCCCTCATCTGGCGTCACTCCCCAAAGGCAAGAGGCTCTGGGTAAACATAAAGATACCGATGCCGCTAACGGATCTCTCCCGGGCTGCCTTCTGACCAGAATCTCGTCGAGATTCTGGTCAGAAGGCAGCCTCGAGATTATCTCGAGGCGCATCCAGCGGTGGCGACGAGGGCCTCCAAGGAGGCCGAAAAAGACGAAAACGAAGGAAGGGTAGCGGTGCTGTCAAGACGCGCTGAAACTAGGACCGCCTTGGGTTCGGGAGGGGCCATGATTTTCGGGCCGTTCCTCAGGTCCAGATCGGGGAACCCATTCGTGACCGAGGCTCGTCGCGGCGAGAAAAGCCCCCTTCGTTGCTTATTCAGCTCCCCTTATGGCAGCACGATGGCTGTATCCGTACCTCTGTCCTGCCCGGGAGTTTTGGGGGCGGCCCGAGGATGGGAGACGGCGCGGCCTCGGGCCGGGCGGCCTCCTCGGCGTGCAGTCCCAGCGCGCGGGCCGCGCGGCTGAAGCCGGCGTCCTCGTGCAGGTCCAGCGCACGCGCGGCCTGCGCCCTGCCCTCTTGGCTGCTCGCTGCGGCCGACGCTGCGGCACACCACCCGGACCCCCTCGCGTCGTGAAAGATGAAGGGGCCCTGGGACACACAAACAAGTACACACAAATAAAAAGGTCCCCCATATTTTCCTATATTTTCTGGGTTTTTGTCTTCCCCACCACTTCCCATACTTTCCCATGTTTTCTGGGGAGCCGACGATGAATTGTGTCTGTGTGTCTTCTCCCCTCCTGAGAAGAGTCAGGATGGGAGGCTGTTGGCCCTGTGCGGCCTCTGGGGTCCCTCGCTGGGCCCCGGGGCTGCCAACAAAAACGACTCGGGCAGTGGGACAAAAACAAACAACACACAAAACACAAAAAACACACACAGTGTTATTTTTCACAGTGTGTGTGTGTGTGTTTTTTTTTGGGGGGAAGAAACAACAAACACACACAGTGTGTGTGTGTGTGAGAGAAAGAAAAAAACACAGTGTGTGCTTTTGTTCCACAATGTGTGTTTTTGTTGTGCTTTTTTTCCCACAAGCACCGGTCCCGGGCAATGGGTCGAGGCCTCCGGGGATCCACGCGGTGAAAGAACATGACGTCCGTCGGGGGTCTGGGGCACACCGCTGGCGCGCACGTGCGCGCCGCGCTGACGCACGAGCCGCCGGCGCTGCTGCTGCGCGCGCTGCTGGCGCTGCGTTGCGCGGCCGCGGTGCTGCACTCGCCGCGGATGCTGCCTCATTTCTGTTCTGCCGCCGCGCGCGCTTTGCACGGCACGCTCGTTATGTAAGCTGGGCTGCGCCGATCCACAAATCAATCGGGGCCGCTCGTAACTCGGCTCTGCTTGACTTGACTGCGTGTTGCCCTGCTTCCTCTTGTAGTCTCGTGTATGCTCGCACATCACAGGCTTCAGCTGTGACCCAGTGTTTTGATACCCCGCGTCTACATGAACTTCATGATCGTAGAATCATCAGAACCATTACGTAGCATGATCTGGTTCATGTGGTGTGGCCGAACTCACCACACAAAAAAACATGGACCACACCAACACTTTATCTGAACATCTATTGGGCAATTTCCGTGTTCGTTTTCAATTGTGTCACGCTGACCTGCCTACCCATGTAACGCTCCATCTTACCGTGTTGGAATAAAAGGATGTGTGCGAGCATGGTATGACCACGACTAGTTCTAGACATTTTCGGATTAGAGCCGACTCAGACTTGCTGCTGGTCTCAACTCACGTGCATCTCCTCATTCTGGCTGTAGGTGAAATTGTCCCTCGACACAACCTGCAATCGCTGGCTTTTGTTTAGCTGTCCGTGGCCTATTTGGCCTGGCTTAGCTGATCCTGGAATGTCTTTATCTGGCCACACTTCCATTGATTTGGATAGACTGGCTATAGCCTATGTTTCTTGTGTGGCCGTACGTGGGATCACCTTCCTTGCGTGATTCTTGCGTCACCTACTTAGCCGCCTCGCTTGGGTAAGGAATCCATGCAGATTCAGCACCACATCCGATTCGATTCGTTTTGAAATTCGGTCTGCTTCATTGGCCTTCGCTAGTCTCAACGTGTCGCACCGTGGCTCAACTTATCCCATGCTGGCCCAACCCACCGGGTATTTGCTGAGAACAACTCCGTTCCGCCCCGTTCGCCTCACATCAATATCTCTCATCCCGCCCGGATAAAACCCGACTCGATCAGCTTCGAACAACTCAGCCGGGCCTGGCTTTGCGCACCCCATCTGAGCTCAAGCGAAGGCTTCGCAGTTTCGGCCGAAATGTAACAAGCGAAATTTAGCATCACTCGATCGTTTAGCGTGGCTTCTGTGTGCTGCACATATGTGACAATGCTGTGTTTGAGTTTCTGCTACGGGGTGTAGCACTTTATCTGCGTTTCAGCCCCGGACGCGGATCCAGGTCCAGCTTACTGTCTTAGCTTCACTTGAAGTACGCATCTCAGCTCAACCCAGCGTCACCAAATTGTTCATGTCATGTACAACATGTGTTCGCAACTAGCCCGGCTGAGGTAGTGCAGTTCATCGTGTGTCTACAACTCCGCAGCAGAGACCATAGACGGCAGCTGGAATTGCCATTACAGTGCCGAATGAATTCCCAGCTTATTCCCACGAAGAGCTTGCACTTAGGGGTTCTTACTTCTGTTTTGGAGAAGCGCGCTGGTGCGTCGCCCTGGCTGGCTTGCAATCGCCCCATCACCGCCAGGCCGCCGCTCGTCGCCGCCCGTCGCCACCTCGTCGCCGCCGCCTCGATTGCGCTGGTGTAAAGCCCCGGCTGGCTTGTGGTCGCCCCGTCGCCTCCCCGTCGCCGCTAGTCGCCGCCCGTCGCCGCCTTGTCGCCGCCTGTTGCCGCCGCCTCGCCGCCGCACCACGTAGAAGATTGAACCACAGAATTTGCAAGATTCATCACGTAGATTGCACCGCATATGGCACCATATAGATTGCACTACACAAGTTGCACACAATAGCTCGCACCACATATACATTGCACACATAGATTGCAGCATGGAGCTCGCACCCCATAACTTCTACTATTTCGATTGCACCTCATAGACTGCACCACATTGGAAAACATGTAGCTTTCACCATGTGCATTTTCCTTCCCCAAGAGAATGAGGATACACCGCCGCGGATTAACCGCACCCCTATAGGGGTGTGCATATTACTGATAATTCTGCCCCTTCGTTCGTTCCGAATATGATTTCGTCTGCTCCCAACTCATTTGGTATCAATCCCCGTCCCCCAAAAAACCATGCGCGCGTATTTCCCATGTCCAGAATCTAGTTTCAAGAACCGGGCGCAAGAACGAGACGAAGTGCACACGCGCGCGCCGTCGCACGCTTATAGCAGAATCCTTCAAAAACTGAGAGTGCCATAAGAATTTCGAACCGACTGTGTCGAAAACGTATAGAAACCAAGCGGCTTCCCAACGCGATGCTTCAAAGAGGCCCGCGCTCGCGCTCGTTCAACTTGTAAAGCGACCAAACGCGCCCCTTGCTCGCGCATGTCGGAATCATTCGAACACCTGTGCGCGCGTGCTGTCGCCAAAACTTCTTGCAACAAAAGGGACGAACTGCACACGCGCGCGTCGTCGCGAGCGAATGGCGGTTTCTTCTGTAGAGCAAAAGTATACGTTTCGTGAGGATTTAAACATCGTGCGTCCCGGCAACATTTTTAGTAAGAAAACTTGCGCTCGCGCTGCTGCGAAATCTTAAAGTAAACAACGGTTCTCAACATTCTTGATCACATGCGGCCAAAAGTGACTCTCACGCGAACATAGTGAAATCTTTCGAACGTCCTTGCATTTGTGCTGGGGGGAGGGCAGTATCCCGGTCAAATGCTACAATGCGGGTCAGTCGCGCGCGTCGACCGCGTGTGCATCTTGAGACCCGTCCAAAACCTTCACCACCGCAGCGACGCGAAGGCACCTTCATCGTCATCGGCGCGAACATCAGCGGTGCCGTCATTGCCTTTGCCGTCGGCATTGCCATCATCGTCGCGCAGATCGTTACTATCGTCATCGTGTCTGCCGTTATCGGCGTCGCCTGGATACCGCGCCCGCCCGAGGTCACCGACTTGCACTGATATGGCCGCGCGTCAGCGCGACCTGCGAAATGCACTGGGCAGTTCCCAGCGGTCAATGCCACCGCGGCCGCGTCGGTCGCGCCAGACTAGCTGGCCGTTCTGCGCGCGAGCCTGCTCGCGCTAGCACGGCCGCGGAGATGCACCACGCAATACCAGGCAGCCATCGCAGCCGCCGCCCCATGGGTTTTGCAAACCAAGATGCGGGTGGTAGGGTGTGACGGTTGCGCGAGCATGGCGGATGGGGTCACGTGCGCGTACATCGAAGCCAATTGCATTGCGCAGGTTCTCTTTTCATTGGAAAGAGTGCGTATACCCTACTGCGCACAAGCACACACGCACACCTGGGATTATCGGCCCCTGGGACACTGCAAATTGCAGACGGTTCTGTCTCACTCTTCATTGAACGCGCGAGTTCAAATCATCCCGGCGGTCCCGTTTTCGTCAAATTTATCTCTCTGTCGAATAACCATTTGGGCGCGCATTCGTCGACCGCAAAATATCAATTTTCAGAAACCACTGTACGACAACAACAAAGCAAAGCCCAGACGCGCGCGCACATGTCAACATCCATTCAGCACCTTAATTCTGCACGGCTTCAACACGAAATCGTTAACAGGCCATTTGACGCTTGTCTCGCAGAACCTGCAAGTTTTCTTCCAGCGCGCACTTGCTGACATCGTAGAGCAACAATCTGATGTTAGCAAGCGCGACCCGCAACCGCATTTACATTCCACAACGCTGTGCGTCCGCGTATCAGCATGCGCCCAAGGCTTCGACAAAGAACCCTTCAAACACGTTTGTACAAGAATTCCTCACCGCGCAGACTTTGCCGGGGTTTTGAGATTTCCGCGCGCGCACTTCCCCACCACAAACCCCATTAGCGCCGCCGCATCCCGTCAGCGTCATCGACAACTGCCGCCATTGCCGAGGTCATCGCCGAAGCACTTTCTTTCATCACCGACACATGGACAGCATCATTGTCATCGTCGTGAAAATCATCGGCGCCGTCATTTGCCTTGCCGTCCGCCACTACGATCATCATCGTCATCATCATCATCATCAGCATCATCATCATTATCGTCGTTGCCGGCGTCATCATGATACCGCGCCCGCCCGAGACACCGACCAACTGTGAAGTGCCCACGCGCCAGAGCGGCCTTGGACACGCGCTGGGAAGTGCCCATCGGTAGCCGCCATCGCGGCCGCATCGGCAGCGTCAAACTAACTGGCAGCTCTGCGCGCGAGCTTGCGCGCGCCAGCGAGGCCGCAGAGATACACCAAGCATGGCAAAGCAGTCATCGCAATCACCGCGCCATAAGCCAACATGGCCTCTTTTGCCTGACGAGGTCTTGCTTGCCAAGCTTCGGGTGGTTGGGTGGAATGGCTGCACGAGCTTGGGAAGTGGTCACGCGCAGTGCAGGGTAGTCAATTGCACCAGATCGATTGCACCTCATTTTTTGCACCACGTAGCCGGCACCATATAGAATGCACCACGTAGCCTACGCAACGAATATCCTACTACATCGGTTCTCCTTCTCCCACAAAGAAGTTGGATCGACCCCCCCCCCCGGACCAGGGATTATGGATCCCCCTGGGGATGTATATTTACACGATTCTCTCCCCACCCGAGCAAAGCAAAATTCGACCACCGCCCCCCCCCCATCCTTTGAAAGAACACAGTGCGCGCATGCTCTCTTATGAAGGGGCCCTGGGACACATAAACACATACACACAAATGAAAGGATTCTCCATATATTTTGGATATTTTCTGGGTTTTTGTCTTCCCCCCCACTTCCCATATTTTCCCATATGTTCTGGGGAATCGACGATTAATTGTGTCTGTGTGTTTCTTTCCCTCCTGACTCTTCTCAAGAACCATCCATTGGCAAAAGCCCGCTTGTAGAAAAGGGGTGCGGTGTGCCCAGAGGCGCGTCGTCGCGCGCGCATGCCGAGATCCTTCACAAGCCTTGGGTTTCGCAAGGGTGTCAAAATGAAGGGGCCCTGGGACACACAAATAAACACACACACACACAAATAAAATTATCCCCCATATTTTTCGCATATTTTCTGGGTTTTTGTCTTCCCCCCCACTTCCCATATTTTCCCATATTTGCTGGGGAATCGACGATTAATTGTGTCTGTGTGTTTTTTCTCCCCTGACAAAACCGAGTCCCGAAACTATTTGAAAACGAATGGTTTTACGAAGTGACTTTTCAATGCGCACAAACGTTGCGCGCACTCTTGCGAGTTTTTAGACCAAAAACAGCCGGTGTTCCAACATTCCCATCACATGCGACCTAACGGCCCTCTCGCGCGAGCGTGTCGGAATCATTCGAACGCCCTTGCGCGCGTGCTGGGGTTGAGGGGCACGATCCTTGCCAATCATAGCATGCGGGCCACTCGCGCCCGTCGGCCGCGCGCGCATGTCGAAATCCTTCCGACACCTCGGTCACGACGCATGGACACCATCATCGTCGCCAGCGTGGTCAGCATCGGCACCGTCATTGGATTTGATCGCTACAATCATCGTTGTGCCTGCCGTTGTCGACGTCGCCATGATATCGCGCCCGCCCTATCACGCCAGACTAGCTGCCCCTTCTGCGCGCAAGCCTGCGCGTGCTGGCGCGGTGCAGCCACGCGCCAACCAGCGCTCAGCAGCACCGCGATCGCCGCTGCATGGGCTCTGCAAACGAAATTGCAGGTAGGTAGGTGGGATGATTGCGCGAGCAGTGGACATGACAACTTCAAATTCGGCAGGGTGAATTGCACCACGTGATTTGCACCAGATCTACATAGGTAGCGCACCACATCGATTACACAATCACATGTGCACACCGTTCTATGCTAGAACACATTGTTTGGCGTCCACGCTAAATGACATTGTCATCGTGAGCACAGCCAGTCTCACACAGTTGCCCATGTATACTGGTCGTGGTTGGCAATGCGACTTGTAGAACACATTTACACAAGATTCACCTGGCGCAGGCTTCAAACATGCCGCTTGCTGAATCGCTTGCCAATATTCCGATTGCGATGGTCACGTAACGTGGTGGTAGCTAAGCAAGTTTTTTTCGAAGGGTTCCAAGACGATGGTCAGTTTGCCTATCATCCTAGACAAGAGATGGTCCGAATACGTACGTAGACTTGCCCTCAAGAGCATGTGCTTTGTCCTTACGGATTTTTTTCGAACGGCGGTTTCGCATAGACCTGGTCCTGGATCCTAGTCCGAGTTCCTTCCTTGTTTGCACATCCCATTCAATTCCTAAGCCGACTCCGCATCGAATTCATGCTTGCTTTCGTAGTTCGTGATGGTTTGAGTGCATGCGCACGTGCTTTCTTGATTGCCTGCGAGCTTGCATGCCAGCTTGCGTGCTGCTTAAAATACGTGCGGCAAGTGACGTAAGTCAATAAGTAGGAAAGTAACGTGCATGCTTACTGGCATTTGCCTTGGACGTATGCTCGCTTACGTACTTGCTTGATTGGTTGATTGATTGATTGATGGCACACTTGCTTGCATGCTTGCGTAGTCTTGCGTATTTGCGTCATACGTCAGTTCGTGTGCTTGCGCACATTCTTGCTTGCATCATTGCTTGATTGGATGCGTGATGTCTAGTGTTCGGGCTCGCGTATTTCCTTGCGGACTTGTTGGCCGTTTTAGGCACTTGACTTTGACTCCAACGTTCGCATTCAATGATTCCCTCTTTGACATCACGCATGGTAGATATCGCCAGCTGTGCTAATACTGAGACGCGGCATGGTTCTGAGCGGTTCTGCCCGGAAAACCTGCGATACTAGTGAACCCAGACTCTCCACACTGCCATCGGGCAGGCGGGTACGGCCGTCCACCAGGCGATTGGAAAGAAGACTGCGGAGGAACAGTGGAGAGGACGAGCAGGGGGGACGAGGAAGGCTCGGCCCGATGTCAGGCTCACTACCTGTTCGCTGGAGGGCTCAAGAAATCGCAGATGTCTCTGTGCTCATCAGGCAGCGTGCCGGCACGGCACTTGTCGGCTGTGTTCACCAGTTGCTCGTAGCCGCCGATGTGCTTCCTAGCGATGAACATGTTTGGTACGCTAGACTGGCCTGTGAGAGCCGCCAGGGTTGCGCCCACCTTCTCCACGCTGGCCAATTCCACTGGCGGCACGTCGAGGTCCACCTTTCGGCAGTTGACTCCGCCATTCTGGCTGCGAATGTACTCCTGCGACCTGTCGCACCATGGGCACCAAGTGGTTGAAAACATGACGCACCGGTCGCTCTGCACGATGGACTGGAGGGCCTGCACAGTGAGCCTGGTCGACGCAGGCATCTCGCTCAACCAATCTTTGAAACTCTCCCGCTCTGTCAGGCGCCCCATCCTGTCTGCACTACGCCTCGCTCACAGCGGGCCCCCTGCTGGAATCTAAGGCAAAACACAGCGGGGACAACTGCTGCGTCCGCAGACGAGCCGTTCGAGTCGAGATAGCTGCGGAAATTCTACGTATGGTGCTCACGCTATTGTTTAGCAGTCTCTGGCGCTGCAACTAAGTTTAAGTATGTGCAAGAATCCAGCACGGGCGGAGGATGCTTTCGGGCAGACGTGCTAGCAGTCTGGACTGCTACATCCACTGCTATTTGTATTGCTGCTGCTTGTGCTGGCGCTGTCAAACAATCTATCTGCACCAAACTGAATTGATGCTGTTGACAGTCACTGGCGATTGCACGGTCTGCTCCGACAGTGGTCTTAAGTGCAAATTCATGTTCCTTCTATTTCGCTACGGCAGGCTCGTGTCGGGACGATTCCGGCGCTGGTTTCTCACACAACGTGGATCGTTCCACCTTGAACGATCGGAGCTTTTCGACAACGCGAGCCGTTCAGCGTCGGTCACTTCAAAGCACAAGCGGCGTTCAACCTTGAACGCCCGCGCAGGGGTCGCTGCCGCGTCGATACGACAAAAACCTACTGTACTGCTGCCTCCAATTCCGAATGCAGACGCGGAGAATTCAATACCTGTTAATTGTCACTAACGAACATTGACTGGCCGTCTCACCAACCATGCTGTCCAACGGAGAGCTGCGTCCACAACACGTGCCCTTCTCTACTTCTCAATTCGCCCATCTCTGGTTCCGTGCCGTCCCCTCTCTCCTCTTTCGCGGTTGCGAGGTAGTCTTCGATACTGATCTTCCGCTCGTCATCGCCGTCGGCCGCGAAGGCGTCGCCGCCGACGCTGGGCTGCGGCCTGGCAGGGTAAACACTCTGTACCAATGCGAGGTCACGCACCAAAGAAGCGACACTTTCGGGTGGGCGCCGTGCGGTGTGCCCAGCCTGCCGGGAAAGGAGTCTGAAGGGGCCCCAGGACACACAAATAAATACACACAAATAAAAGAATTCCCCACATTTTCCTACCATTTCTGGGTTTCTGTCTTCCCCCCAACTTCCCGTATTTTCCCACATGTTCTTGGGAAGCGACGATTAATTGTGTCTGTGTGTTTTTCCCCTCCTGAGAGTCCGTGGTCCGCTCCTGCGACGAGGCAGCCCAAAACCACACAGAGCCACGGCCCGCCACCCGAACACGCAAGGGCAAACGAGAGCGAACCCTCCTCCTCCTCCTCCTCCTCCTCCTCCTGCTCCTCCTTCTCCTCCTCCGCCTCCTCCTCCTCCTCCTCCCTCCTCCTCCTCCTCCTCCTCCTCCTCCTCCTCCCCCTCCTCCTTCTCCCCCTCCTCCTTCTCCTCCGCCTCCTCCTCCTCCTCCTCCTCCTCCTCCTCCTCTTCCTTCTCCACCTCCTCCTCCTCCTCCTCCTCCTCTTCCTCCTCCTAACCATGCCGCGGCACGAAGCCAAAAACCGACGCCCGTTTCCCATTTCCGCCCTTCTGTCTCACAAGTGCCTGCTGGCGTGGGCCTAAAACAGCAGAGCATTACATCCACGATGCCTTCGGCGTGAACTCTACGCGGTGCAATCTGTGTGGTGCGACCCGTGCCGTGCAAGCCAGGTGGCGCAGGCTCTGGAGTGCCAGCGGTGTGGTGCAAGCTGTGCGGCGAAATGAAGTAATGTGCGCTGTTGACCTGCCAACTCCACTGCTCGCGCAATCGTCCCACCCTCCCATCCGCAACTTCTTTTGCACAACAGGTGCGGTCTGATTGCTGGAGGAGGAGGAGGAGGAGGAGGACGAGGACGAGGAAGAGCAGGAGGAGGAGCTGGTGCTGGCTGGCGCATGTCTGCGGCTGAACTAGCGCGCAGGCTCGCGCGCAGAGCGGCCAGCGTGTCTGGCACGGCCGGTGCAGCTGCGACGGCGTCTACCGGTGGCAACGGCCCAGCGCGACTCAGAGGCCGCTTTGGCGAGCGTGGACTTCAGTGCGGATCGGTGACTCGGCCTGGCTCGTAGCATCACGACGTCAAAAACGGTAGCCAAGACGATGATGGTAGCGGAGGTGGTGGCGATTATGCCGATGACGATGGCAAGGCCAATGAAGGCGCCGATGCTGGTGACGACGATGACGATGATGATGCCCATGCGTCGCTGGTGAATGTGCTTGAGTTGTAATGGTGGCAATGGCGGCGGTGGTCGATGACAGTGACGTGATGCGGGGGTGCTGATGAGGGTGATGCTGAGGAAGTGCGCGCGCCGAAATGCAAGAAACCTGGCAGACTTCCTGTTGAATCGCATGCTATACTTTGTCTTGATCTGGAACTAGATGTTTCCTCATGTCTTTACCTTGCCTTGATCTGGTATCGCATGTCTTTACCTTGTCTTTCCTTCATGTTGGAAAGCTAGACCTGGAACTGTTCGAAAACCAGTGCTTCGAGGAAGATTTCGGCGCGCGCGCGTGGCGGCGGGCGCGTGGCCCGCATGGTGCTATCTGCAGCGAATTCGCTGTCCAAGCGCATGCTGACTACCCTGCACCGCGCGCGATCCCCTCCCCGTCGCAAATACGCCAACCCTAGCGCACCTCCCAGATACGCCACCCCTGCCGTATCCCCAGATACGCAAACCCCCAACTCTAAACCCTAAACCAACACCAAACCCTAATCTCTAAAACCGACCCTGGACCCTAAACCCGAAGGAAAACCCTAAACTTAACCCTAGAGGGGCGCGGTCCTTGAGCGGGCGAACATCCCACCCGTAACTTGGCTGGCGAAACCTCCTCAGGCAACGGTGACAATGACGAACAAGATGTCGACATAAGCGGCGGCAATTGCGATGACTGCACGGCCATGGCCGGCGCATCTCTGCGGCCGCGCTGGCGCGCACAAGCACGCGCGCAGAGCGGCCAGCTGGTTTGGCGCAGCCGATGCGGCCACGATGGCGCTTACACATGGGAATTTCCCAGCGCGTTTCCAAGGCCGTGCTGGCGCGCGAGCACTTCAATGCGGGTCGATGGCTCGGGCGGGCGCGGTAGCATGACGTCGACAACGACGGCAATGATGATGATGATGATGATGATAATGATGATGATGATGATGATGATGATGATGATGATGATGATGATGGTGGCGAAGGTGGTGGCGATGATGATAATAACGACGGCAAGGCCAATGATGTCCACGTGTCGATGATGAATGTGCTTGAGTGCTGATGGTGGCAATGGCGGCAGTTGGCGATGACGATGACGTAATGCGGCGGCTTGCGCGCGCGGCGGACGCGCGCAGATGGTCCGCATGGTAGCATTTGATGGGGATTCATGCACTGGACGCATGCTGGATCAACGAGGATGCACCGCGTGGTGGGATGATAATGCTGGTTGTGGATGATATTATACGAATCGCAAGTGTTACTTTTTCATCGGATGTCAACAAATGCGGGCAGCCAGGCAATACGCAAGATCTGTCAAGGGGAAAGCCGAAGAGCCTCTGATGCCTTCATGTTGAAGTGCTTGCGAACTTGCGTGTGTGGACGCCCTGGATAACAGGATGCTGGGAAAGGCCAAGGAGATCCAGACTGACCCCATGGGATGGTTCACCGCCAGCCAGCAGACGCGAGCTGAGGCGGAGACGCTCCTCGCCGAGGCAGAACCCGCCCGACGCGACACTCCGACGCCCGACAAGCGAGCGCGCAGCGCGGGCCCTCCGCAGAGCCTGGGCGGCCCGCCTCCACGCAGCGGACCCAAGCGGTGCCCCCGTCGCCAGGACAGGCTCGCCCGACCGCGGTCGCGAGCGCCCGCGGGCCTCCCGGCCGCCGCCTGGACCCCGGCCGGCCACGCGCGTCGCCGAGCCCTCCCCGCGCGACAGCGCTCCCCCCCGGCCCCCCGCCCGAGGAGCACGCGGGGGACGCTGCAGCCAGCGCAGCTCGCGCAGGCCACGCGGCGCGGGCTCTCCACTCCGCGCGCGAGGCCCCCGCACGCAGTCGCCCTGGGCGGCCCTGCCGGGGGCGAGGGGCGCCCGGCGGAGCGGCAGCCCGGCAGAGCAGCGGGCGCCGCGGGTCCCCGGCGCGAGCTCCTCGCCAGGCGAGCCGCGACACGGTCGCGGTCGACCAACGTCGCCCAACGTCGCCCAACGACGAGACGTCGGGGGGTGCGCAGCGGTCGACCAGCGTCGCCCGTCGTGGACGCAAGCCGCGCCCGCCGCAGCGCTGCTGCCGCCCCGCGGGCCGCGCCTGCAGCGCTATCCGGAGCCGCCAGTCGGCCAGAGGAGCCGAGGGCGGCGGGGGGGGGGGGGCAGGAGCTAGGGGGCCACATGCGAACCCTACCCCTACCCCCCACGACGTCTGAGGGGGAGGGTGGGGTTCACTTCGCTCGGGAGCTCCCGAACGAAGTGAACCCCACCCTCCCCCTCAGAAATCGTGGGGGGTAGGGGTAGGGCTCGCATGTGGCCCCCTAGGAGCGTCACTCACAGGGAGCAGCTGCGCCAGCGCGAGGCACCCCTACAGGGAGCGGAACCCACCGCTGCCCCGTGCCCGCAGCCGCAGCTCCCCGCACCTGCCGGCTGAGCGGCCCTGACCTGGCGCGGCTGGCGCAGCGCTGTCGCGCCAACTGAGGAACGGCCATCCACCAGCACTGGATCAGCTACTGCACCCGCAGCCTCAGGCAAGGGCCCGTGGCCCTGCGGCCACCCCCCGTGGCTTCCTGGGAAGCCTGTGGGAAGACGGACACATCGACCCCAGTGCCGACGGACCGCGACAACTGGACCTGGGCCACCGTGGCGTGCCAGATTACGCTCGCGCACCTGGTCAGCTGGGGACGCAAAAGCAGGGGGGTCTTGGCAGGCGTTTGACCCTGCCGTTACGGGCGGAGTTCAGAAGGCTGCCACGTTTGCTCAACGCCGACACGCTCCTCTCGGGTCGGGCGAAAGGGGGGGATAGCAAAGGAGGGGGTGAGAATCAGCTCACGTAGCTGATTTTCCCGGCGCCTCCCGGCGCTGGAGGCGGCAATGTATCGAGGAATGGGCCCCTCGGTGAGGCCGAAACCAGCTGCATGCAGCAGATTTCGTTACCCCCCCCCTTTCCCTATCCCCCCCCCCTGCGTCCGGCCCGATCCTCGGGTTCGCCCACAGCCTCGGAGAAGAGCCCTTCGCAGAGTGCCCGCTGCTGGATGGCGCCACCACCTGGCCCGCCCACGAGCTGCCGAACGACCCCGGGGGCGCCGCGCCCCCCGCTCGCGCCCGCCTATACGCGCTCTCCGGCGTCCTCCGGGACCCGGCGCCCACGCTGGCCAACAGACTGTCCCCGACTCAGGGTGCGCACCCTTGAATTTGGACGCCCGAGATGGGTGCGGAAAGAATGGGTGCTCCAGATTTCGTAGTAAAGGGAGGGGACTCTCGTTTCGGGGGGGGGTCTATTCCAGGCTATCTTGGAGGGCCTGGGGGGGGTCTGGGGACGATGTTCTGGAGGGTTCTCCCACGGGTGGGGTCTAAAACTTCTCGTCTGGGAGGGTTGAGACCCCCTCCGTTGTATTACGAAATCTGGAGTGCAATGCCCAACAACAACTGTTGTTCCAAACCAACAGCGGCCGCTGTTGGGCGGGCGGCTCTCTGTCTCAAATGGGCACAGGCCGCGGCGGCGCGGACAGCGAGCCCTGTTCAAAATGAGCAGGAACTGCTGCTGGGCATCGTACCCATTCTTTCCGTACCCACTTCGGGCGTCCAGACTTGACGGCCTGGCCCCTGCCGACGGTGACCTGAAGCGCCCGATCGCGCACGGATTGGCACAGCTGCGGCCGGCTCGGGAGAGAGCCGGCCCGGGAAGAAGCTGCGAGGCTCCAGGGGCCCAGGCCCGCGCGGCGACCCGCAGGCCATGGCGGGATCA